GTCGGAAAACCCCTCGACCTTGGTGATGGGCGCATATGTAGAGACTGGCGCCTTGAGCTTGGCAGGCTCGGAGAAGGCGGCAGACCAGCAGCTCATAGCAGCGGGGAAGCGCGGCCAGATAGGGTCTGGACAGCATGTCTGAGTCGCCCCGTTAATTCCCGCCAAACCATCCGCTTCAGGCGGGGCTGGTTCTGGCACAGCTCGCCCCTTGCGGGCTGCTGCCGCAGAAATGATGGCGGGCAGCTCCTGGAGCAGTGCTCTTACTGCTGGCAGGGAGGAGCGAGAAGCCACTGGGGCAGAAGGACCCGCTGAGCGAAGCTCGTCGACCTCCGTTATGTCTAGGAGGGATGCCGCTTCATCGTAGTTGTCGCTGTCGGTGACGTCATCCAGCCAGTTGAAGCCAGCCGGCTCCTGACCAGCGTCGAAGAAATCCAAAGCCTTGTCCAGCGGGTACGAGTCAGCCACCGGAACTTCTTCGTCGGCGGCGGGAGTGAAGAACTCGACCCGGCGAATCTTCTCCGCCATGGGCAGAGCGGCACAGAACGGGCACGAGGCCTGCGGGGTCAAGGCCAGGCCAGCGTGGTGAGCCCCGAGACAGACCTCACACATAGCGTGCAGGTCGCCGCTGGAAATGGAGCCCGTCTGGCAGGTCGGGCAGGGTCTGGAGTCGCTGGACATGGCTGGTAAGTTGTCTTCGGATAATTTTGCTCTTTTAGGAAAATATTTGCTCTTTAATAAAGCTCTCAAGCTTGGCATGAAGAGAAAAAGGAGGTGAGCAGTGGGGTCACTGCGGTTATATACCACGAGGGGGCCCACTATTGGTGGGCGTACATTTTAGCTCTTCATGATTGGCTGATGCGGAGATCATCCTTCCAATAGCAGCTAGCTTAAGGGCTAAGACTAGACGAAATAGAACTCATAGTTCATCTCGTAAGCCGTATCAAAAGCCAGCTTAGTTAGCTCTTTAGCTACAGAGGTGGACGTAATATCCAAGGACCACCAATAGTGGGGCTGTCCATCACCTTTTAAGACAAATATGTCTTGTGCGTCAGGTGGGTTCATTTCAGAAGTCATGCCTTTAGGTGTGCAGACAATTGAAATACCCATTTTTACCATGAGATCCCTACCGAGAAGATTGACAGGGCAGGTTGGATCGATAAGAAGGGCAATCTGTGCTTCCCTTCCTGTTTCTTTATCTTTAACATTTACAAGATTTGTTAATTTGTGTTGTTTTACATGGCCAGCTGCAGTTTTAATGAGAATTTTGTCAGGTGAGAAAGCTGCTTCAGGGGGAATTGATTGGAGAACCGTTCTGCAGGCTCCTGTATCACACAAACAGCTGTAAGGCTTTCCATTAAACAAGATAACGCGTGTGGGAGCCTTGAACAACTCTGTCCATTTTTTGAGTGCAGCAAAAATGTCAACGGTTGTGCCATCTCCACTTCCTCCCTCAGCTACAATGTCATCTGGCTTTTGAACTTTATCATTATGCACGACCTTTGAGCCTAGCCATGCCTGATACCCAGGATGAGAATTATTAACACTGTTTGGGTTATCAAAAATATTGTCATCAGATGAGTCATGTGGGCAGTCACAATCTAGATGTCCTTTCTTACAGCATTGCCAGTAAACATCTCTGCCATTTTGGAGGCCTCTTTCTTTGCCTCTCTGCCTGTGGTTTCGTCTGCCTTTTGGTGCAAAACGTGACTGATATCCTGTATATGCCAGAGTGTTATCTGAGCTAAAGAATGTGCTGTTTTTACAGGTCGAGGTTATGTTTCTCATGGCATGTGTAGCTTGATCTTCTGCGTCGGCAACTGAGCCTCTTGGTCTATGAACCCAATATTTCTCTACAAACTGTTTGGGTTATCAAAAATATTGGGGGAACTGGGGGAAGCAAACTGTCCAGAAATGCCTTTTTTAACCCCTGCTGATAAGCTTCTCTCTCATCAGCACTAAAAGGGATGCCTGAGTTGTACTTGAAAACAGGCTCCAACCTGCTTAAAAATCTGATGGAGTTTCATTAGGTTTCTGCTTAACTTCACTAATTCTACCACAATAAGCAGTTTTTCTGAAGGCTACTTTTAATCTGTCCAGTAAACCATCTAGTTGGGTAGTCAGATTCGCAGATCCAGCAGGTAACGGCCTCCCTTCTGCGTCAAAACCTGTATAACTTCCTGCTACTCTGCCCCAACGGTGCCCTAAAGCAGTTTGGACAACTTTCATGATTTCTAACCCGTTCAGACCAAAGCTGTTTCTCAACTCATGTAAATCAGAGCAGAATTGTTCTACATCATCACTATATGGGGTCAAGCCTTTGGCTGCTTGCTCTGTGTCACTCTGAGTCCAAGGTCGATAAACGGATATTGTGGAGTTTGTCACATTGAGGATCGGATGGCGGCGGACCGTGTGTGGTGGAGCAGATCAGGAGGTAGGAATGCAGGCACGGATAAAAATGGTTTTAATGGCAGAGAGGGAACGACAGAACAAAACAACGCTGACAACAAACAATGATCTGACAAAGACTCAAACAAGACGGGAGGTATAAATACTCAGGGAAACATCAGGAATACCTGGGCGGGTAAACAAGGGGCAGGTGAAACCAATAGGGACTAATAAAGGGCAGGGGAGAGACACAGTCAGGGAGGCAGGAGCAGATTGTGACAGGGTTATTGTCCCCTCCTACACCAAATCTAGGATTGGCTACTTGAACCAGGGGATAAACCCCCGCTGCTGGGGCCTCATCTTTAATTTGGTCTGTGTTTAACTTTTCATCCTTGTTTCTAGTTGTGTAGCCTTCAGGCCTTAATTGTTTTTCCTGCAAAGCCCTGAGCTCAGCAATTTTTGGTTTAGTGACAGGCTGTAAATTAGCCACTGCTGTGCTCGCATGCAAGGTGGACAGAGGCTGGTCTCCGGCCTCAGCAACAGTCTCCCCTACCCCAGGTCTGGGTGAGGTGGTGGCTGTGGCTTCTGTTCTCTGAAAGACCGTTTCATCATCTACACTGACTATGCCTGGCTTCTTCTCTGCTCTTTTTTCTCCACCCTTTTCTTCCTCTCTGCCTCCCTCCTAGTGCATTCATTCAACCAAGACTCAGAAAATTCATACTGCAATTTTCTCTCCTTCTTTTTCTTGTTCCTCTCCCTCACAATTTCAACCTTAAGATTACTTTGCAAGTGCAACATGTCAGTTGTTATCAAATTACCAGAAAAACCATGTTCTTCGATCCATCTCCTGATAATTTCCTCATTTCCTGGATGTTTATTTTCCATAAATGCACTATCTTTACTCAAAGGTCTTTGTGAGGCTTCATTTCCCATTTTTAAATATTACACCATCTTCCTTCGGTATGAGATCAGATTTAGGCTTACGGATCTGCCCTTCAACTGTAATCTAACACACTGAGATCCGATTTACAGCGTGTCCGCCAACCTGTTTAAAAATCTGACCACCGATACGTCAGACCGATATATAAATGAGTTGTGATATCCTTCTTTCTACAAGGATAAGGCAAGTCCAGGCACACTCTCACTCATTCAAACAACAGTTAAAGCAGACAACATGAAACAAACAACAAAAAGATAACTAGAGTGACGTTTCTATTTCTCCGGCTAAAACGCTCAAAAAACCAAGCCAAATACAGACAGCATTCAGAGAATCTGTCAAAAACCAACCTAGTCAAGGCGGACGTCACCACTTTACTATCTCATAGTTACCACACCGGTCTACTTTATTTCTTACACCAGAGTTGCATTTCTAATTTCGGCTAAAATGCAGAAAACCAGCCAAATACAGACAGCACTAAGAGAATCTGTCAAAACCATCCTAGTCAAGGCGGACGTCACCACTTTACTATCTCATAGTTACCACACCGGTCTACTTTATTTCTTACACCAGAGTTGCATTTCTAATTTAGGCTAAAATGCAGAAAACCAGCCAAATACAGACAGCACTAAGAGAATCTGTCAAAACCATCCTATTCAAGGCGGACGTCACCACTTTGGTCTCTGGTCACCTATGATTTCTCTCGGTACCACAAAACAAACAACAACCTACTTGTCTCACCAGATATCTTTGCGCAGGCCTTGAGTTCGCGAATCCGTATGGTTCCCTGCAGCGATGACAAGATCCAGCGAAAGCCAGAACTGGAGGATTTTGGAGGTGTCACGACAGGTGTCCGGCGGTGGTTGTTGGCGTCAAAAGGAAACCCGGGACCCCGGCTCGAATAACCAAATAATGTCAAGTATTTTATCAACAACCCAGTGCCTGCAACCAGAGAAAAATAAACAAATGACAGACAAGAATACAGATTGCAATGAGGAAGCAGAAGCAACAAGGCGACTGCCCCGAGCTCTTGAATTCTCAGTTTATTTATAACATGAGGTAAGGAAATGTGTGTATGTGTGGCAGGGCCGGCTCTAGGTAATTTGGTGTCCAAGGCAAGAGTGCCCATTGCCCCCCCCACCCCTCCCCCGTGCCTGCACGCCTCTCACCCAAGTCCACCCACCACACACTGGAAAAAGCAACCCCACAATTTTTCCTTAATTGCTAATTTTTTATTTTCATTATTCACACAACAACTATTTAAAGGCAACCGCCTGAAGAATAAAAGTAAGCTGGAAGAAAAGTACCCTGAGAATATTAAAATATCCAACTCAAAATGTCATGCAATTGTCATTGGGGGGATGCAAAATCAAAAGCAGCATTAAACTGTGCAATCAAAAGTAAAACTCAAATATCAAAGTGTTATAAAGAAAGTTCTACTTTCCATTTTGTTCAGTGTTGTTATAAATAAAACTTTAAAACATATCACAGTGGACAATCAAAAGATTCTTACACAACAGAGAAGCACTAAAATCTCACCTCAAGGAAAATGAGTTATAGTGTATGAAGGTCAATCTGTTTCAAAAAGCACAAACCTGTAGATCTGTTGTGTGTATTCGTACTACATGATGGGTGCTTGAAAACAGTGTGTGTGTGTGCGTGCAGTACAGTGTGAGGAGCTGTACACCAACACCCGTAAACCTGTAAAGCTAAATATGCACCTGTAAGAAACACTCACATGCATTTGAAATAAAATACAGTTGTGTGTGACATTTTCAACTACAAGTCTGTAAACACAAGTGTACAGATCTGTTTCTGCACACGCTCAACTTTTTTATTACAATTGCACAGCTTTCCTCTCACACATCTGATTTTTGAAACTATTTTCACGATTAATATGTGTCAAAATGCACAAGTTTGTAAATTTGTTGTCTGATTCCGTACAACACAATGTGGGCTTGAAGATTGGATGTGAGTGTGTGTACCGTAAAAGGTGAGCTTGAAGTTTTGAGGTGAGTGTCTGTGCATTAAAATGTGAGAAGCTGCACATCAACATGTGTGAAATTGTGAAGATAAATAGTACTTGTAAGAAAAAGTAAATTGTATGTGAAACAAAATAAACTTACATGTAAAATTTTCTTCTGCGACCCAGTAAATACAACTTCTCAAATACGTTTCTGCGCATGCTCAGTTGTTGTTTTACAAGCGCACAACTCTCCTCTCGCGAGTCTGACTTTTGAAACACTTCTGGCAGGTTGTGTGTTGCAAATTGCAGCTGTGTGTATCTGCAGAGGCGAGTGGAGCAGGGGATGAGGGCGAGGGTGGGGGCGGAAGGAGGAGCCACAGAGGGAGGGTTGTCATTGGCCGGCTCTGGTTTCCAGGACAACAGGCTCAACCAATCAGAGTGAGAGCTGCGTTTTTCCCTCGGCTTTCAGTCCGCTGCTGTCTGCAGTTCGCGATGGCTGAACGAGCTGGGGTAAGTACATTTCAAAGGACTTTCTAAACTTATTTTAGTCATTTCCTCGTCTTTTTATTTAAACAAGGTGACACACTAACATAACGTCATGCTATTTATACCATTATTAAGGCCTTATAAGATATTTGTACAAATATGTAGTCTAGCTAAAGTTTATATGAGCTGCTTTGCTAAGTTAGCAGAAACAAAAACGCCACTGCTAACACTGAAGTCTTGCATTAAGGCCACTGTGTTTGGGTATAATCCCAGGGGTGTTTCTCAATGTCAAGGCTTTGAGGACACTGTCCTTCCTTGGTCAAAGAAAACAGTTAAATGGAGCTGACTTGCGTCACGTGACCAGGGCTCCCGTGATGGTCACGTGACGTGCGGCAAAGTTATAATTATACTTATAAGTTGTATAATGAGCATTTTACTTTTTAAATTGCGTATATATTGCTTGAATTACATGTATAAGGGAGTTACTAATTGCTGGCCATCGAAGCTGCAACGATTAGGCAGCACCAACTAACCAACTTCTGATTAAAAAAATAAACATTTTAGATATCAGCCTGATAGTTGCAATTAGTTTTTTTAATCACCAGTAAAACAATAAAAAGTAATCATTTGAAACCTTTAACTCTTGTTTCCTTTCTCGGGGATCCTATTTTCAGGCACTGTTTAGACCAGCGGTACTCAGCTGACAGTCTGTGGGCCACGTCCAGCCCGCAGGTTCATTCTTTGTGGCCCTTGGTCCACCAGGACAGGGATGCACTGACATCTGGCCAGGTCAGATGTCTTACCTGTCGTATTCCGATGCCAGGAAAAGGCAGATTGCAATGCTGAGGTATTCATTTCTTAAAACTCAATAAATATGAGCATTTCCTAATTTCACTTTTTAATCATATGCTATTTTATTTTGTCACATTCAGATGGTTCTGGACCACATCACCTGGCCAGATGAAGAAGAGCTGGAGGATGACAGCGAATCTCCTCTTGCTGTGAAATGTTAGATCACAAGCTACTTGCGTAGATTTGTTGAGACAGGTATTTGGCTTTTTTCTGGTTACACTCAAACTACAGCTTTATTTATAAAGCGCTTTTCAAACAAAAAAATGAAACTCAAATAGCTTCAGAGGAAGAAAAAAAATGACCCACAGATTGAAAAGACCTGACATATCCCACAAAATTCATTGTCAATTGAAACCCCCTTCCCCGACCCAGTAACACGCATATACACACACACACACACATACCCACATGCACACACAACACATTAGAGAACATATGCAAACACTGGGCAGAGCTCAGATGAGTCAGGAAACGCCATCAGGCGAGCCGTCTGATCCAACTCCAGTAGATCCACGGCAGCAGCCAGGGCACCGAGACAGGGCTCACAGAGGAGGGAGGACAAGGGCCCCCACCTACACCCAAGCACTACCTGGAGAGCACCCAGGCCACTGCCGCTGACCACTGGCCCTGAGGCAGAGGGCTCCCACTGAGGAAACGCTGTAAAGTATTAGAATAAGTAAAAGAATGAAATAAAAAGAGGTAATGTATGAATAAGTAGTGATCAATATAATTGTAGAAATAGTAAAACAATATCAAATCATAAATATATAACAAAACTTTCTTAAAATATAAGAAATTTAATCATAAATAATAAGCAGTTAAAAGCTAAGCTAAAAAAGTTCATTCTTCGGCCTGCTCTTAACATTTCTCTCTGGTCCTGAGGTCCTCAGGCAGCCTGCTCCAGAGGCAAGGGCCATTATATTGTAAGGACGCCTGACCATTGTTGTTTGTCCTGACATTCGGGATCACAAGGCGATGGCTGCAAGAGGAGTGCAGAGGACGTGAGGGTTTGTATGGTAAAGTCAGTTCAGAAAGGCTAGAAGGGCCAAGACCATTAAGACACTTTAAAACCATTACAAAAACCTGAAAATCATTGGAATAAACCTTAAAGTCATTATAGGTTTATTCCACTTCTATCTTTAAACAGTTGTCTTTCACAAAATGTGTACAATCAAACTATTTTAGAAGCCTTGACCCTCCCACTGTCTTCATGGGTGACCCCACCAGGAAAGACCTCACCCCTGCCACATGGACCTCAAGGGATAAACCATCAACCCTGCTCAGTGGTCAACTTTCCTGGTGGGGTCACCCATGTAGACAGTGGGAGGGTTAAAATGAGTAAAGTGTTTTATATGACACAGCAGATAAGGTGGGTTTGCTACATTCTAAGTATCTTGTGTAAACATGGCACAGAAGATCTTTTATATCTCATTTGTCTTTGCCATTTTTCTTTTCTTTTTCAGTGTATGAAGAGCAAAGGAAGCAGCTCGTGAAGTTTTGGGTTGGATGGGAGAAACCCATGAAGGATATGAAAGTGGAAATAATGCAGGCAGACCATCCAACCTCATCTAGCTGCTTCCATATTCTACGTCTGCCCTGCCACTACACAACATTTGATGTTTCGCAATCATCTTGAAAGTTGCATAGCAACCAATGTTCATGGTTTTGGATTGATCTAAAGTTTAACGTCATGCTATTTGCCAGTGCTGTTCAGGTTATACCAAACAAATCTTTTTTTTATTTAATCATCAAGTTACAGCTGAAAGTTTCAGGAATATTGAGTTACAAGTAAGGCACAGCTGTTATATGATAAATGTTTTATTGTAATTTTACAAGTAGAGAAATCATTTTCAAGATTGCATTTTATACATATGCAACAAACAAAACATTGCTGCATCCAGGGTCATGACAATAGAACAATATTTTTGTAGCTTAATGCTAAATGTTTTTTTCCTGTCACTTGCTTAAGTTCAAGATGTTATTAATAAAATAAAAAAAAAAAAACTTTAAACATTTTATTGAATTCACAAATGATTGTAACCTATATTAACACGTTAGACTTGCAGGTTTTTAAATAAAAAAAAAACATCAAATTGCAACAAAACTTTCATTATTCTCACAAATTTGGGAATTTCAATATCCAAGAGAATAAGAAAGGGCAGTTAGATTTTTAGTACACACAAGATTACTATAATTTTAACTTAAGAAGGTTTAATTATTTTAGTTTGCCATCGAAGAATATTAACATGCAAACATTTTCAAATGCTCATGAGTCATTTAATCTGTACTTTCAAGTTCAGATGTGGTAAGAGAAAACATGGAGATTAAAATAACGTGTTCAGTTAGATAATGGAGACTTATCAAGATCCTTCACAGACATTTTATACAAGTCATTGATGACAAGATGCAAAAAATGAAAGATTTTATTATAGCCAATGGTTTGCATGTAATGCCGTGTGGCTAAATAACTGTCAATCCCAAGATTGACCTCAGTGGATCCACAGCTGCACAGAGTCCAGAATATTCTCCTGGACTTAGCGGGCATTCAACTTCTGGAACTTGAGCACCAGAGTTGTGTTCATTGTCGATGAGTCCACTGGATTCCCATTCAATCTGTGGAATGTAAAGCTCCTGCAATAAAATGATTGTGGGCTAGGCACAGAATACGTTCTTCTGACCACACAACGGAGATGGGACGTTCAGGAAACCACGCCTGCAGTGTCTAATCTGCGCATAGAGGACCGAACACGCTCCCACTGAAGTCTATATCCTTGTGACTTCAGCAGACCTTTCATAATGGTGACTTGAAAAGCGCTATATAAGTTCAATGCATTATTATTATTATCAATCTATACCCTGCATTTGGGTTTCTGGCATGGATCTGTGACACTAGAGTAGCTCATCGTGAGTCATGGTGCTGTAAGTTTGGCTCACATTTAAACCCCATTCTTTCACTCGCCTGTGTACTGTAACTCTAGATATCCCCAGCAGCTGTGCAATACACGTGACAGGTAAACCTAAAGAAATGAGGTGTTCTGTGTATTTCTCAGGAATAAGTAGTTTGGGACGACCAATGGTTTCGTGAGCAACAATAATTTGTGCTTTTTTATTTTGACTGCAGGTCTCTGATAAACTTGGGCAAGTGCATTTAAAATGTCCTGAGGGACGTCAAACTGGTTTGAGATAGCACCCAGAATAACCAGCTCCTGACAACATACAAATTCCAAAAAATCGAGATCTAGAGGAACTCGATCAAGCCAATTAGAGGAACGGTTGTAAAGTCTTTCAAGCAGATAGTTGAGCAGCAGTTCCTGAAAAACAAAAATGAAGGGTTACTAAAAGAGCAATCAAATGCAATTTTAAATATCACATGTAACAGTTGTTATTAATAGGATCCCCGAGAAAGGAAACAAAAGTTAAAGGTTTCAAATGATTACTTTTTATTGTTTTACTGGTGATTAAAAAAACTAATTGCAACTATCAGGCTGATATCTAAAATGTTTATTTTTTTAATCAGAAGTTGGTGCTGCCTAATCGTTGCAGCTTCGATGGCCAGCAATTAGTAACTCCCTTATACATGTAATTCAAGAAATATATACACAATTTAAAAAGTAAAATGCTCATTATACAACTTATAAGTATAATTATAACTTTGCCGCACGTCACGTGACCATCACGGGAGCCCTGGTCACGTGACGCAAGTCAGCTCCATTTAACTGTTTTCTTTGACCAAGGAAGGACAGTGTCCTCAAAGCCTTGACATTGAGAAACACCCCTGGGATTATACCCAAACACAGTGGCCTTAATGCAAGACTTCAGTGTTAGCAGTGACGTTTTTGTTTCTGCTAACTTAGCAAAGCAGCTCATATAAACTTTAGCTAGACTACATATTTGTACAAATATCTTATAAGGCCTTAATAATGGTATAAATAGCATGACGTTATGTTAGTGTGTCACCTTGTTTAAATAAAAAGACGAGGAAATGACTAAAATAAGTTTAGAAAGTCCTTTGAAATGTACTTACCCCAGCTCGTTCAGCCATCGCGAACTGCAGACAGCAGCGGACTGAAAGCCGAGGGAAAAACGCAGCTCTCACTCTGATTGGTTGAGCCTGTTGTCCTGGAAACCAGAGCCGGCCAATGACAACCCTTCCTCTGTGGCTCCTCCTTCCGCCCCCACCCTCGCCCTCATCCCCTGCTCCACTCGCCTCTGCAGATACACACAGCTGCAATTTGCAACACACAACCTGCCAGAAGTGTTTCAAAAGTCAGACTCGCGAGAGGAGAGTTGTGCGCTTGTGAAACAACAACTGAGCATGCGCAGAAACGTATTTGAGAAGTTGTATTTACTGGGTCGCAGAAGAAAATTTTACATGTAAGTTTATTTTGTTTCACATACAATTTACTTTTTCTTACAAGTACCATTTATCTTCACAATTTCACACATGTTGATGTGCAGCTTCTCACATTTTAATGCACAGACACTCACCTCAAAACTTCAAGCTCACCTTTTACGGTACACACACTCACATCCAATCTTCAAGCCCACATTGTGTTGTACGGAATCAGACAACAAATTTACAAACTTGTGCATTTTGACACATATTAATCGTGAAAATAGTTTCAAAAATCAGATGTGTGAGAGGAAAGCTGTGCAATTGTAATAAAAAAGTTGAGCGTGTGCAGAAACAGATCTGTACACTTGTGTTTACAGACTTGTAGTTGAAAATGTCACACACAACTGTATTTTATTTCAAATGCATGTGAGTGTTTCTTACAGGTGCATATTTAGCTTTACAGGTTTACGGGTGTTGGTGTACAGCTCCTCACACTGTACTGCACGCACGCACACACACTGTTTCCAAGCACCCATCATGTAGTACAAATACATACAACAGATCTACAGGTTTGTGCTTTTTGAAACAGATTGACCTTCATAATAGTGCTGTCATTTTAGGTTTGTGCCAAGATGGAAAATATTGTGGGTTATTTCCACAAAAAGATAATCTCAAACACCAAAACCTCACTATCATTTCCAGTGTTATTCAAAAAGTCTACATACCTCTGCTTTGGGCCCGTTTTTTTTCTTCCTCCTTCCGTCGCTTTTGGAATGCTGATCTCGATGGCTTGGGTCTTCTTTTCATCGTGAAATATATCAAATGTTTAAACGCGATGACAACACGATGTCCTTCTACAGCGCCAACCACGCATGTGATCTACGGCACCCTTAAGGTCAAAAGCATCGGAGAGGACCGGGAGCTCTTCATGCAGTGTGTGGTACCTTTCGTTGCAAGGTACGGCACACAAACTCACTCCACATTGACTGCACCGAAACTTTGTCTGGCGACGGCCTTTTGGGCGGGTGCGATCTGAGCACACAACACAGTCTGGACGATCGTCTGCATTGCGGCGCCAGTGTCGTTCAGTGAGCCTCTGTGGCACTTCTCCCAGCTGCATTGAAGGTCTTCCTCCTTTTTTGTTTTCCTTCCTGGAGTAGCCTTCAAGTAAGGAAGTCACTATTTGCTGAATGAAGACCTTCAGGGATTTGTGTGGACCAGGAACACTCCTGGTGTAAATAATGTTGGCATTCATCACACAAATGCTAAGAAGAGCATTGAAAATGTGGTTGTACCATTTTCCTGAGCAGTATGGAAAGAGGTACGTTTTCATTCGCTGATCAGCCCTATCTACTCCTCCCATAAATGAGTTGTAGCTGTCAGCACACACTGGTTTCTCTATTTCTCGAAACCCAGTCAAGTTTTCCCTTGTGCGGATGCGTTTTTTGTGCATGTGTTGCCATGAATGGTGGACAGCAGAGTGAGACGCTTTGTGTCATGCCATGCACATGCCAGCAGCTTATCATTTTGCATGAACACGGGAACATCTCCCCTTCTCAATGGCAACTGGGCTGGTTTCAGGCCACTTGGCATCCCTCACCTGTTGCAGTTTACAGTGCCACACATACCAATTTCGTTAGCTGCCAGCTCACGAGCTATGGCTGGTGAAGTATAATAGCTGTCCATATACACCTCATGCCCTTTCCCTGTATATGGGGCCAGCAGCTGACAAACAATGTAATGTGTGGCACCTACATTTTCGTCATCATTTGCACTTTGTCCAGTGTAGAGGTACCACTGCAAAATGCTCTTTTTGGGAAGAGCAGAAAGCAGGGCATTACAGTACTCTGGTGATTAAAGCATGCATCGGCGTCTCCGTATTGGCCCGAGAGAGGATGGGGCGGACTCTGGTAATGTTCTTTAGATGACACAAACCGATTTTAGTAATATTTCAAAGTGATGAATAAAAGTCAGCTCAGAGTGAAGCCACGCCCAGAGATGGATTAAAAGGCAGAGACTGTAGTTTTGGTAAAAGTTTCTCTCTCTGGGCCTCAGCCTGATGCTGCTGTCAGTCATTGCGGGAATATGTAGGTGTGGAAAAACAATTTAATATTCTCTCCTCTGCCTGAGCTGATGGTGACGTGTGGCGTGCCTAGCTGCAATGATCCGCCTTTTGCGCAAAATGTTGCCCTTCATAGAACGCGTGTCAGACCGTGCATGACTGATGTTTGAGGACAAACAGATTTTTTTTCTGAAATCTCTGAGATTTCGTCTGATGAATACCCGGATAATTTACCGGTATGCACTGTACCCTAGAAAAAAGTGCGGGTATGCTGAAAGGTCATAATTAGAAGTGGCGGTGGTACTGGTACCGGCCCAAAGCACTGATCTCTGTCCCTAAAGGATATGAGTCTGATGATCTGATTATCAGAACCTGATCATCATGATCCGTTCCTGACA